GGATCTACCTTAAGCGCTATAGGGAGGGGAGATGTCAAGATAGACTTACCTCTGGGAGAGAAGAGGACCACAGTCACCCTAAAGAACGCCCTATATGCTCCCAAGATGGCGTTTATGCTCATCTCCACCAACCAAATCGCAGCGTCCAGCCTTGCCGTCCTCTTCAAAGGACGGATGTGCAAAATCCTCTTGAAGGGGCCAGAACATCATGTCATTGCGGAGATCCCCCAACTCGAGGGACTATATGCTGTAAATCAGCATCAGAAGCACCATGCCAATATAGCCAAAACGAAACTCACCGTTTGCCAACTCCACCGGGTCCTGGGACATATATCCCAGGCTGCGGTAAAGCACATGGTAGAAAATGGACTGGTGGAAGGAGTCGAGCTTGATACCTCCTCCTCACTGGAATTCTGCGATGCCTGCACAAAAGCAAAGGCGACATGTCAGTCTTTCCCTGCCGAGACCAAGAACCGTGCACGTACCTATGCCAAATTGGTCCACATGGACCTCTGGGGCCCAGCTCAGACGCCGAGTCTTGGGGGCTGCAACTACTACATCAGTTTCACGGATGATTACACCCGTGAGACTAGAGTGCAGTTCCTGAAACTAAAAAGTGAGGCGTTGAGTGCCTTCAAGGGCTATGAGGCGTACCTTGCCCATCAACACCCAGATGTGCGCCTATGAAAGGTTCAGTCCGATAGAGGAGGGGAGTATCTGAGCGCAGCGTTTGATAAGTACCTGCTGGACCAGGGGATAGAGAGACAGCTTACCGTTCATGACTCTCCCCAGCAGAATGGTGTCGCAGAGCAACTGAACAGAACTCTGGTGTCCCACGCATGGGCAATGTTGCTAGCCCGCGACTTGCCTAAATACCTGTGGGCAGAGGCAATTAGCTATGCCACATGGTTGAAAAATAGACTCCCATTGAGGACCATACCTGGCCACACCCCATTCGAGCTCATCCACCAATGAAAGCCAAATCTCTCCCAGGCACATGAGTTTGGTGCGCCGGTGTACGTTCACCTCCAGAATGCCGGTAAGCTTGAATTGAGGGTGACAGAGGCTGTGTTTGTGGGGGTTGACAGCGAGAGAAAAGGGTACAGGGTATGGTGGCCTTCCAAGCGCCGAGTGATGGTGGAACAGAATGTCACATTTGCACCTGTGGGGGGTGATAGTGTCCCGGATGAGGGGGAGTCCATTACCATGAATGCTAACGATGGAACAAAACAGAATGACTCACCTGCCCAGGCCACATCACCCGCTCCTCCCCAACCACCTTCCACACCTCCCAGACCTACTCAACGTCCAGAGACACCACTGGCACCAAGAGTCACGCGCATTAGGCCACCACCAGGGTACTATTTGGCCCTCAATGAGGGCGAGCACACCAGTATTGCAGTACAGTCCCTGCAAGAAGAATCAGATGCAGAGGATGAAGAAGTACTCACCCATCACCTGGCCTTGGTGGCCGCTGAAGCAGAGCCAACGTTACAGCAGGCCTTGAATGGCCCAGATAGCATTGAATGGCAAGAAGCACTTGATTACAAGATCAGCCAATTGGAGAAATTGGGTACGTGGGAAATTGTTGATGTACCTCGGTCTCGAATCAACGTCATACCCGTGCTTGCTACTAAATGCGGACCTAACAGGGAGAAATTAAAACTGCGTGCACGCCTCATGGCCAACGGCCAACATCAGCAACAAGGTGTCAATTACTTCGACACTTTTGCACCTACCTCCAACATGTCGACGATCAGAACGGTCTTGGCGATGGCCGCACAGAGGGACTGGGAGATACATCAGGTAGATATCAAGAGCACCTATTTGTATGCTGACCTCAAGGAGGAAGTCTACATGAGGGTGCCACCTGGGTACCTGAAGACTGGAGATGAGGGGAAGATTCTCAGGTTGAGGATGAGCCTGCCTGGTCTGAAGCAGGCGGGATATGAGTGGGCGGAGGAACTGGCCGGAGTCTTCAAGAAGATCAGCTTCACTCGTTCACAGGTGGATCAAGCCGTCTTCTATTGTGCATCGACAATGAGCACACAGTAATCACCATTTCGGTTGATGACATGGCCGTTACCTCCCAGCATACACACCACATCGCCAAATTCAAAGGTCAGCTCCAAGAGCACTTTGAGATAACTGACCTTGGCAAGCTCAACTGGCTCCTCGGCCTCAAAGTCACGCGCAACCATACTGAACGCATGCTAACCCTCTCGCAGAGCGCCTATGTACAGACCATACTAGAGCATTTCAGTCTCTTAGATGCGAAGAGCGCACTTACCCCCATGGACATAGGAGCCACCTTGTCCATTGATCAGTCGCCTTCCACCCTCACCAAGCACCACAATATGCAGGATGTACCCTACCAGCGCGCCATAGGCTCTCTGATGTATGCAGCAACGAGTACCTGGCCGGACATAGCGTTTTTGGTCGTGACTCTGTCGCAATTCATGCGGAATCTGGGACGTGCACATTGGGAGGCGAGTAAACGTGTCATGAGATATTTGAAGTCCACAGTGGATATTGGACTCACCTTCGGCGGTACTGATACAGGCCTAGAGGCATACGTTGACGCTGACTGGGCGTCTCAACCCCACCGTCATTCGATGTCCGGTTACATTGTCCTCCTAAACGGAGGCCCCATTGCCTGGAGTGCCAGAAAGCAGTTGCTCATTGCGCTCTCCACAGCCAAAGCTGAGTACATAGCCCTAACCACCGTTGCCAGAGAGATTCTCTACCTGCGGCTCCTCATCAACGAACTCTACGATGTTCCTTTCACCCCCACCCCCATCTATTGCGACAATCAGGCAGCTATCGCCCTTGCCAGCAAACCCAAATTCCACTCACGCACAAAGCACATCAACATTCATTTCCACTTCATGCGGCAGCACCTCAAGGATGGCACATTCACCCTATCCTACTGCCCCACAGAAGATAACCTTGCAGACACCTTCACCAAGGCCCTCCCACACCCTCGCCATCAGAAGCTTCACCTTCAGATGAGCTTGGATTGCGCTCAAGGGGGAGTGTTGGAGTCTGAACGATCCGACTAGTTCGAGCTGATGGATCTGAGATAGGGACAATGAGGAGGGACAGGGGGAGAACTGTCCGAGTGCAACCCAAAATCAGTAGGCAACGAGAGACGTTTGACATCGGCTCGTTGACACAAATATTTACCTTACAATTTTTATTCCTATCTCACCCGCACATATAGAGTAGTGGCCTAGCGTAGTTGCATCTCAGTTCTTACCAGAAACTGAGATGTAAGTCTTATTATTTTCCCTCATCTAGAACGAAGCTCATGATGACTAGTATACTTGTTCCCTAGGTACATGATACATTTGTAACGGAGTTCTTAACAGAGACTGAGATTATACTTGTTCCCTAGCTCTCTCCATTGTGTCTGCTCCCGTCTGAACTCTAGATTCACACCTAAAAAAAGTGCGCAATAGTGCTCCAATATAGCGTGATTGATAATAAAAAAGCCCTCCAGCCTGAGTCACAGTTGCAGAAAATGCTGGTACACCACTGACAGTTATTACATAGTTGAGCCGTGAGTTTTCTGTAACGATCTCAATGATAATAAGGAGTCATAGCAAGGAGACTTACCACCATGAATTCTGAGTGAGTGAATGCCACAATACCATCTTTCTTTCATTCCATATGCATATGCCCAACATTAAGATCTGCTGTCAATAACCAGGAATTTGCTGCCTCTGCACACTGGTGCCAGAGATTGAGAAGCATTGTATGGTGTTCGAGAATGCAATCTGCCAGGTGCTTTTCGACCTCACATACTTCATCACAAAAACATTGAGTTCCTTTTTGTCCCTTGATTTTCTTAACAAATTTACTAAGGTGGCTAAGGAGAATAAGGACTATTAAGGAGTGATTTTGTACTTAATTATATTTATTCTAAGGCACATGGTGGCTGCAAGTCAGCCTAAGGAGAATTAATAAGGAGAATTAAGGAGATTACTTGTGTGCCTGAACTTTCTTGAACACACTCTAGTATTTTGCTTATAACTCACTAGGATCTTAACCAAAAAGTAAAGCTGCTTGACAGTTTGAGAATTGATCATGTGATCTTGAGAGTTCAAACCAGCTCCATGGTAGAAAATAAAGTGCACTTTTTGACATCACTTTGACTGCCTTAATTTCCTTATTCTAAGGAAATTACCTTAGTTTAAGGCGAGGGACCTACTTATTCTCCTTATTCTAAGTGTGAAAAAAACAGCCTTAATATTCCTTATTATGTGAATTAAGGCATATAAGGACAAATAAGGAGCAAATAAGGAACTTGATGTTTTCCTGATGTTTTCATTTGGCTTGCTTTGGCTGCCTCTAGCATGAGGTCAGAGTGGTTGGCTGTGCCTTCTACAACACCATGCATTGACATGTAATCAACATCCTACCAAAGATAGATAAGATTGAGATGAACATAAGGAGGGAGAACTCACAAGGTGCATGGTAGAAGGAAAATCGTTCTCTCCCAAATGGTGCACATTCAACAGCATTCACGAATTCAGACTTGTATATGATCTGGTAGGAGTGTTTCGGCTGCGACTGTGTGTAGGCGAGTTTAAAGATGGAGAAGAGAGGGAATTCATGGGATGGATATGACAAGTTAATACAAGGTCTGAGTCTGACGACTGTGTGAAGTTTTGACTGATAACCTTAATGTCAGTACCAACATGTCCCAATTGTGGGAAGGTCTTCACCAAGGACAGCAGTCTCACTCACCATCTTAGCCAACCCTGAACTTCCTGTCATAGCTCCATCCGCAACATTGTCAATATCTCGCAGTTCGCAGAAGTAGAACTGCCATCACATATGCCTCGCTTGAAGCTGATGCTATCATGCATAATTCGGATGATCAGGTGCATGCCAACTTCAATGGCGACTTCAATCCTATCGATGATGACTTCGGAGCGGCAGAAGGGTCATTGGAGGAGCGGTACGAGGGTGCCAGGATGTGCTACTCTGAGGATGGACTAACCTTCTTAGATCCATTTGACACCAATGAATTCATCAAGTACAGAAACGAGAACCTTTTCTACCCTTTTGCATCCAAGGAAGAGTGGGAAATCACTGATTTCCTTCTGTGTTCACCCCTTAGCATGGCAGCGATTGACGTGTTCCTGAAGCTTTCTCTGGTAAGTACTATCTTCACACTCTGCAGCATTGATTAGTTTACCCCTTGTTCAGATCCAAAAACTACACCTTTCATTCAGCAATGCTAGAGAGTTGCGAAGCCATGCGGAGATGCTTCCTAGCAGACCAAGCTGGAAGTGTCAGATCATCCCCTCCACCTATCCCATGAAATATCTGATTCAATTGTTTTGGAGAGACCCTGTCAAATGCCTAGAGGGTCTTTTCTCCAACCCACTTTTCCATGACAAGCTTGATTTTACCCCTCATTGTGTTTACACAATGGCAGTGCATCTTGTGCAGGTATACTCAGAATGGATGACGGGTGATGCTGCTTGGGAAATGCAGGTATGTGCAGCAGTTGAATTTTTTTGTCATCTCAACACGCCTCCTGTAGACTCAGTTTCCTAGAGGTGCTACAGTTCTTGGCACTGTACTGTCCTCTGACAAAAAAAATATCACTACCATGACTGGTGCCAGACTCGCTCATCTGCTTCTTCTGAGACTCGCTAACATATACATGCATACCCGCACAAAACTTTCATCAAAAGCTTTCCTACTTACGGCTCTACTCCCCATCCAAAAGTACCTATACCCTAATCAATGAATGTGAGGAGTGCTTGAAGATTGCCTTATGCATGAATGCCTTTCGATTATTCTCAAGCCATTGATAAAAGCTGCTGAGGTTGGGATCATGATGTCTGATCCTGTTGGAAATGTTTGGCACTGCCTTACTCCTCTCGCAGCATACATCATTGACACCCCAGAGGCAGCTATGCTTGCCTGTGTATGCGGGAAGACCTCCCCATTTACCATGGCTTCTTATCTGCAGTTTGGTGACAGTTTTCAGCACCCCCCTCATACCCACTCTATCACACTTGACCAGCTTGCCAGCATCACGGTCAATCCCACTGACCTTGAGGCATATTTTGATGCCTGCACTGAATACCGGCTAAACGGCATCTGCACACCATTCTGGATGGACTGGCCACTCACTGATCCCTCAATCTTCCTGATGTCAGAAGCACTGCATCATTGGCACAAGGAGTTTTTTGACCACGACTGTCAGTGGTGTCTAGTAGCCATTGGCACCTCAGAACTTGATTTCTGGTTCTCGATCCTACAGCCTGTCACAGGTTATCACCACTTCACTGGCGGAATCTCGAAACTCAAACAAGTCACAGGGAGAGGTCACTGTGATATCCAATGCTACATCATTGGCCTGATATCCGGTGCAGCCCCTCATCATTTTGTCATCGCAATCCATGCCCTTATAAATGTTCGATATTTGGCACAGAGCCCTGCTCCCGATGATGACTTATTGGCAAGTATTGACCAAGCCCTTTTCACCTTCCACAAAAATATGGACATCATCATGACTTTGGGCGCGTGGATGGGAGCCAAGAAGCCTATTGATAACTGGTTTATTCCCAAACTAGAATTTTTTCAGAGCATCACTTCCGCAAGATACCGGAATTCTCGAAAGTCCGGCGGGTCCGTCTGTCTGTCCATCTGTCCGGCGGGTCCATCCGTCCGGGAAGTCCGTCCATCCATGTTACCTCAGTATGGCTCATCACTGTCTCCCACGGTTGCTCAATGTGTGCCACTAGTGGCACACGACGCCAAACTTACTACGTCATTGGGACACAAGCTTCTGCCATGTGGCACCAGAATTCCTGCTCGACATATAGTATATAAAACTTTGCCAGTCCAAATCAACCTATCCTCGCTTCTCTTTCCCGCTCTTCTCACTCGTTACCCTTTTTCCCGACACCTGCCCTTCTTGCCTGCCTCATTCTTGGTCCACATCACTACCCTTTCTTTCTCGACCCTGGTGGTATGTTTGTCTGTATCTTTTTCAAAGTAAGTTCATCATTCATTCCCTCTTTTATACCTACCTAACTGCTGTGGTCTCAACACAGGTTTCTGTCTTAGCTAATTGATACTCGCCCTCGGCCCATGTCTTTGTAGAGACTCAAGTAATGTCGGCGTCAGGCGAGTTCGGCGATGGTGCTGAGCCTGATTGGACTGTAGAGTGTGACACGTGTGGTGATAAGCTGCACTGGTTCAAATGCCATAGTATCGAGAATGGCAATCAAGGCAGGTGGATGGTCAAGGTATGTCCACTATCGCTTTACTCTCTTCTTTCTGTTCATTCCTGACATGATATCCTAGTGCACAAAAACTGATTCTGGCAAGAGTACACGCAACAAACCTGCAAAGCGCTGCATGTTTTTCCAATTTGCTTACCATCGAAAGGGCAGCCCCTCCTTATCCCCCAAAGTCATTGATCCCCATCGTCGGAAATCACCACCACGGAAGCTGAAGCCTAAGGTGAAGTGTATCGTTGTCAGCTGCAACAGCCACAGAATCAATGTACTCTGCTCACGGCACGTTTGCCGCAAGCACTGTCGTATCTTGGGTGGCTGTGAAGGGGTCTCTGATCACACCGATGGACGCACTGGATCCACTCAGGACCTTGAGTTGGAGGATGGACCTCACAATGATCCAACCATCATTAAGGATCCTGTCCCTTCTCTTGCGCCATCTCTTCCAAGTAACATTGTGCCTATTGCTTCCACATCTGCTGTGAAGGGCAAAGGCCGTGCAGTGTCAGCATTTCAAGATGATGATGAGGAGATTGATCAACTCATGCCATCATCTCCACCCAGATGCTCTTCTGGGTCACATACCCTCAAGCCTGCGCCATCAGCCCCCCCACGATTTGCATGCCAGATGCCGCCACAGTTTACCAAACAACTCGAGCGTGAGCACTCCTTAGAGGAGGGGGAGCGTCGTCGTGATGCTGCACGGATAGAGAGTGCACAGCGTGCCAAGTACAGTGTCACCGTTTACGCATTCTTAGAGGTATATTGTCATTGATGGTATCACTCACAGGATCTTTGCAGGACGGCATTCCTGCTACATGCTTTGTATTTCAAGGCGGCTTTCAGTTCCCCCATTTCTATTGCTCGTACGAAGTCCTCACAGAACTTGGACTGCCTGCCATCCATCCCAGTGATGTAGAGCGATGCACCACAGGGCAGTCATTGCTGCAACTGCTGAATACAGCGACATGACGTTGGCAGGGCATCCGCCAGGACCATATGGTCACTGTATGGGAGGGTGATATGTTGTTCTTGAAGCACGCTCACGTCACAGATTGCCATGAATTAGACGAACTTCTATCATCCTCGTTGTGTACCAGTACTCAACCGAACATGCGCACACACCTTGCAGGGGATCGTGCTGCAGTTCGCACTGCTAGCCGAGAAGCCCAACAACTGGCTGAAATCAAACCACCCCCTCCAACTCTGCCCTCCTGGTTGCGCCTTCCACCTCGTACCTTACTTCTGCCATCATCAAGTGAAATTGAGGTTGATACAATGCTCTCTGCACCTATCCTAGACTCACCCTCACCCATCCGGAAGCCGCACAATTCTGCTCATCAACGTTTATCCACACCTCTTGTCTCACCGTCACCTCCACAGAAGCGCACCCACCACCAGAAAACATCTTCAATCCTTTCTTCATCTCCATCACCTCCACAGAAGCGCATTCACCACCGGAAGACATCTTCAGTCATTTCTTTGTCTCCATCACCTCCACCACGGAAGCGCATCCACCGCTGGAAGACATCTTCGATCATCTCTTCATCTCCAACAGCATCCCCACCTCCAACCACCTTGACCTTTCGCCAATGTTTGCGTGCAGATGCACACTCACCTACACCTTCGCCTGAGCCCTCCTTGCCTGCACTCCCACGTCGGCGCCAGCACACACGTCAATGCCAAGTCTCCATTGAGTCATTTGCATGGGAGGAGCAAGGTGACACTCCCTCAGATGCAATCGATGTCGACGATATCAAGGCTTGGCCAACCGATTTCTCTATTGTCGAAGTTGTCGAAGGGTTTGGGGTCTGTGAACTTGCCAGACGGTCCAAGAAATCCACGGTCAAAGCTGCATTCGAAGCACATTTCCACCTGCCCTTCAAGAAGTCCACCTTCCATGACAACCGTGGATGGTGGTTGAAAGCACCTCAGCGGCTACATGACAAGTATACACGGAGCCACGCAAAGCCTGCACTGTGGCCTGTGTTCTTAGCTGATTATCGTATATGGGAGGAGAAGCAGGTTTAGTACAGTCTAGTCAAGTATCTCTGATCATTCAATTTGTATTTTATGTAGTATCTGCAACAGACACCCCAATGGGCTCCCCACCTGTTAATACCGTTTGTCGCATAGAAGATTGATCTTATTCTGTGAATCATGTATCCAAATTGTCGGTGGTCCATCGGTGATTTGATTGTTCCCTTTCATTCACCAAACTCCAACAAACAACCACTTTCCATATGCTGTAACCTGTTGGATACGTCGCATGTACATGTACAAATGTATGACTTGTTCAGCTCCGAACCAGAGGCGATACATACAGTGCGGCTTGGAAGCTGGCACGGACGCCAATGGTTCGGGAGTAGCAGGAAGTACTAGTACTCATCCGCCCTCGTTCCTCCTCATTGAAATCCTCATACCAGTTTGCATCACCTTTCCTCGCGTCTCCATCCTCTGCTGGTATCCCCAATTGATGGCTATGCTGCCCTTGCTCTGCTCATGGGTCCGCCGACAAACATGGAAATGTTTGGTCAACAGCTGCTTGAAAAACTTTCCTGAGAGAGGCCGCTGGGCAACATCTTCAACCTCTATGTGCTATTATCCATGCTGCTCCAGTTTGCCCTCCACATTATATCGCTCATTTACATTACGATCCAAACTCTGACAATCTCGTCTCTGCAGTATCATTATCGGCTCCCCGAATTTTTAAACCTACAAAACCTCGTGCACTGATGCGCATGGGTGAGATCCAGTTATACCAGAGGCAGCTAGATGCAGGAAAGGACTGCTTGGTCAAGGCTGCGGAGTTGCTACAGGATCTGCCGAGTGTGGATGCAGCTGATATGAGGCAGCTGAATGGAGATTGGAAAGGAGCACGTCCGCTTTGCCACGCTACCAGGCATGTGGGACCGCACGGTAACTGTGTTGTCTGCTGGCAGTGAGTTAATAGTTCAGCCATAGAGGTCCATCTTACGTTATGTGCCAGAGGCGTTCGCTGCCACAGGCTGGCGTGTAGGCTGGTTAATTGGCCCGCCACGCTGACACGGACGCGGATCTAGATGTGACCGTTCAGACGGGTCTGTACGCCGCCGAAATGTTTGTGGCGAATCTTGCAGTCAACTATCTGCTGAATATTATTGTTGTCGGTGAGTTCATTCATCTGTTGAGATTGGCTGCATTCTTATTAAGGCTTTTTCAGATGATGTCGCGTGGATCTGGTATTATGATCGACAAGGGATCATTCAATGCTCAGGCATCAACTTCATTCAAGATCTCCCGCGGTTCATGGTGCTGTTGTATGCTTTACAACGCTTCGAGCTTCACGATTGGGGCCGAAACAAAGACTTCCTCCCAATTGAAGTTGAGGGGAAACTATGCCACGAGTTCAACATCAAGGATGAAAAACTTGGAGAGGTGGATTTGCTGCTTCACACCAGTCACGACGAAAGAGTGATGCATTATGGACTGCAAGGACGGGCGACCAATGTGGTCCCTGTCACTAGCGAAGCGCTCACGGAGAAATATGGCAAGTTCGAGGATGGGATGGTGGCTAAGATCTTTTGGGGAGAAGTGAGTCGCACTAGCAAGCCGGAGATCCTGAAAAAGGTTGATGAGATTGCTAAGAGGCACGTAACTGTCCAAGGCCACGTTCCTGAGCTGCTTTGGCACCACACGTTCACGAATCCCACGTCCGCAATTCAAGAAGCGCTTGACGTTCTGGAAGGTCCTAGGGGAAACGAGCGCACAGGCACGGTGCCATTCATGGCGCTCGATCTTCTCACCAAAGATGGTCAACAAGGCAAAGTCAATAGAAACGTACCATCGCGCACCAAAAAACTATAGACGTTTCTCCTCATGGACCTCCGAGTGCTGCAGGTGACTGAGACTGGCAGTGATGAGCTAAGGCCAAAAGATGGTGTGGGGAGTGACGACGACGTTGGATGGATGACTATACTAGTCGCGCGGGTGTTAGGTGCGGAGTCCTGGCTGTGTGGGGCATGCCTCAAATGTGTGCGACAGGTCGTGTTACCTTGTATGGTGGTCGGTCTACTCAAATACTTCATCACTCGCATGATGGCTGTCAAGGCTGCACCGCTGATATAACCACACCCACAGGAGTCAGAGGAAATGCTACATTGGTATTTCACAAATCACAACTGCTAAGCCCATTCCTCTTCAGTCTCATACATCACCAGCGCTCTTAGCTACTGCAACAATCTTGTCCAATGTATCGTCTTCGTTAGCGAGTCGTAACGAGCCCTCTGATGAACCAATTGACTCCCACTGCGACGGCCTTTGGTGCTCCCTCTTCAACTTCTCTAATGTAAGGCGGTTCCTGCACAGGATGACCTCGTCAAGGTAGAAGTCAAACTTAATTGGTTTCATCCCTCGAGTGATTGCGTTGAATTTCCCAAACCATGAGTTTGTCTGCTCGCATACAGATGAATTGAAGTACCACTTCCCATCATCAACTGTGAGCTCTGGGAAGGCTATAGGATTGCAATTTTCTTGACAGAAGATGTCCTTTTCAGAGTGTTTGCAATTGAAGTGAAAAACGTCAACTGACAAGCTGATATCGTTGAAGAACGGATCATCTTTGACGTGCTGAGCGAGATTGCAATTATTATCATAAAAGATGTGCGATGGTCTTGTTAGTCGATCTGGAAATGCTTCTTTAATGAATGCCTATGAACTGCATGAGCAGCTGCAGTACTGAGACACAGATTGGTGAGGACATACTGCAACACTGCCGACACCCTCGGCACGGTAAAATGTTTGTCGATCATGTATTATGCCGCACGGAGCAACAATCAACACCTCGCAGTGCGTGCGATTGCGCCCAAACTGAGTGCGTAGTTTCTTCTTTGGCTTCAGTGGGGCTAGTGAGTGATCTTGGTTGCTGTCCACCTCAAATTCCTGCAGTCCTTCATCTGACATATTACCATCTAACTCAACATGCTCAGCACCTCGGGAAATTGCACGAGCAGGATTATCCACAATGGCGCGGGACCGCTCGAGTCGTTTGCGAAGTTGAAAATGTGATTGACCACGCAAGGCGTGCAATGCCTCAACAGCCTTGTGGTCTTGGTGCTGACATGTCTTGCTACCTGGGGTGACAATGCTAGTGCAATTGATGATCACGCACTGGTTTCCATGGTCTGCAGTGTGAGAAGGACAAAAGTGGTCGTTGATTGTCCGAAGAGACTCAAAGCAATAAGGGACTGAACAGCATGGTCTGCTGACTGTCACACCATCGATGACAATGACACGGACAAATTGTGCAGCTGAAGAGAAAAATATGAGATCAGTCTAAAATTTGAGGCACGGCAGAGGATAGACCTTTGTCGCTAGAAGCTTCATAAGTACAACAACACTTTAAGCACTTGTGACGGCAAGCATCAGGCTGACCAAAGGAACACATGCGCTGGTTGCGAAGTGCCATGGCATCATTGAACTGTTCTGATTGTGTTCCATCCTGTTTGACAATGAGGCAGCGTTGGCGATAATGACAGTCATCGAGAAGAGAGCTAATTATGAATGTATCTCAAACATGCTCTAGCGTGACATCTGACAAAGGCCATGTAGGAGGAAACTTGTTCTTTTGGCCGACTGCAGAGTTGTAAATTCCAGCACAGTTAGTTGCAGACGTGCTTCAGATCCTCGATAAATAGATGTAGACTGTGTGATAACATAGTAGATGCACCAAGCAACATGCATCATCGTCTTCCAGAGATGGCAAACCCTGATGTCGATATAGTGGTGTGCGCTGACTTGAATGGCATCGGGTAATCCTTCCGTGTAGTCGTAGTAGACACGGTCCTTACCACTGACTTTGTAGTTATGGTAATATGTGATCTTGCACTCTGGTGCCCGTTTCAGTTGGTAAAAACAATGAGACAGATCTCATGCTCACTTTCACAATGCATTACAACATCATATGCAGGCATCGCTCCATGCTCCAGACTCAGATACACAACTTTGAGTTGCTGGGCCTTGTTTAGAAGTAGTCCTTTTGCTCGCCTCTCACATGTTTTTTCTGGACACATTTTAAATGGCGGATAAAATGTTTTGTAAGCTATGCATGAGCCATTAGTAGATGGCTCCCAGGTAAATTTGTGCCGGCACCCAACTGAGACCATGAGGATAGCCACATTACTTGAAGAGTGTCTTGGTGCTGTTCTGTGACATGAAACTGCCTTGCCAGATGTCGTGCTTTAAGACAGACCAGCAGAGTTGAACCGAGTCTTCTGTCAGGGTGCACGCAGAGCCCAAAAACAGATTCACGCTTGGAGGGAGAAAGTCTGGGGGTGCAGAAACATCATATGTTGCAGGCTGAGCCAATATGCTGTCGTCTTTGATAGCAGAAGCCAAGTTGACAAAGCATAGAACAGTTTCGAGTGAGAGTGCGTGAATATTCAAAAGCGCGTGTGCAACACTTGCAAGCTCGACCATTGTAACAACTCAGGCTGATTGATATATTGATAAGTACTAGTATGATCCTCAGATAACCTACAAAAGGCTTGTCCGAGAGTGCACAACCTACCAGGCTGGCTCACCTACAAAAGGCCGACCAACTTGGGAAGACGAAATGTGGAATGAAGGTTGGGAAATGGCACGTCAGCCACTAGCACTACTCGACCGCTTTCATTCGTCAATATAGACAAATAGAATCGGGACAACTAGGTATGCAGTGTGCACCGCTCATAGACAGGCTCAGGGATTGGCGGGGGCGGATGGCCAGCCGGACAGACGGACTGGACAGACGGACGGACCAGACTTTCAAGAAACCAGGTGCCCTCCACTTCTGGCACATGCAACGTGGGCACTCTGATTCAGTGGTCTGCAGATGTGACCAAGCACGCCCATGTTTCAGAAATCAAGGACCCCGCACGTCGTACCAATAACAATGACTATGATCCCCAGATCTGCCGGCATCTAGATCAAGATGAAAAGTTGCGACATTTCGCAATCGCCATGACACTGAAGAGTCATTGCACTTACCATGATCCCAATGACAGGCCTGGAGATGTTCCTGAGGAGGAGGAAGACGAGGGGGCAATCGATTGTGACAAGTGGGAACAGGACGATCTGCGAACTGCACTTCTAGAAGAAATGAACCACACCCATGTCACCATGAATTACTTCAGCAAAGCAAGGCAAATAGTGGCTGCAAGGGATGAAGCTATTTCTCACCCTCCTCGAACATTTATCGCTGGTGGTACTGCAATCCACCTCAACTACAATCCTTCTCACACCGGAGTTAGTGTTGATGATGTCGCCACTGATTTCAACATACTGGATCTGCATGTAGCACTTTCAGAATTCTTGCTATGTGACGTGAGGGAGAGAGGAGCAGTTTATGAGGTGGGGGGTCCAAGAAGAAGGCCGTTGATTGACGTCCTCCAATCCTTCCATTTGACCGTGTTCAACTATGGTATACTATTCACCTTCAGCAAATGTCTTTCCACAATTCTGGCATCAACATCCTTTGTGTTAAATTATCTCCTTGCAACAGTCATGACCTCCATCCCTGAAGCAAGATTACATGGATGAGTTGATGAAGCACGAACTACTAGTAGGCCCAGATAATGATTTGATGGGCAGCAAACAAGTTCTGTGTGAGGAGGGCATAAAAGGCCACACATTATCCATCCTCGACATCCTTATTCCATGATCTAGTCTTGAAATTCAAGATATTCATAAAATCAAGTATATCAAGAATAAGGACAATTGTATCATATACAGTTCATCTGTATTGCCAAATCCATGGAGTATCACTCCGCAATGGAGGCCCACCCATGCTTTTGATGGTCCACTGAAGAAGACGAAACAGAACCAGCAGGAATCACAGATTGATACAGAGGAGGAGGAGGGGGGGGGAGGAGGAGGCAGATGGAAGCCTCAGTGTAGGCAAAGATATGCTGGAGACAGATGGCAGCTGGTCACAAAGATCATATCAGACTGGAGAAAAACGTCCAATCCTGGCTGTAAAGGCATCGGGAGAGAAGAATTGGGAGCACCTCTTCAGAAGTGTCTATTATGACATGCGTAACAAGGTCAAATCCAAGACAGGCTCGCTGCCCTTCCACGTTCTACCAGAACTGTGATACTGGTCTTCAGAGTTCTCTAACATTGCTGTACCGGACACCACTGATTCCAGGAAACCTGATCTAGTCCTTATGGACTATAGACTGTGGAAGTGCAGTCGGATGTTCGGACAGGAGTAGAGATTACCATCTCAGAACTGGCAGAGGGAAAGGGCATACCAATATTCTTGGGGGTTGCAACCAAAGGCTACCTTATGATGCGTGAACAGCCGTGGCGTTGTTTTGTTCTTATTTTCAGTATTGTGAACCTCAAGCTTCATGCCCATTACTTGGACTGTTCCAGAATGATCATCTCAGCACCCATGCCAATTGGCCGAGATGCTGTATGTTTCACCAATGTCTTAAACACGATGATGCTAGGAAGCCACTCTGCTGTTGGTCTCGATCCCACCATTCACATTTGTAACTCCCTGTCATATCCCGCGTTCCAGACCCAGACCAATCACGCAATCATCTCCGGACTTCCGGATCTGGTCAGCTCCTATCTTCCGTGCCTTTTCCCTTTAGTATTTCCCTTATCAGTTAGTATGCTTTATTTTCCGTCCCTTATTCATTTCCGTCTTCATTTTACTAAGTTCCGATAGACTAGTGATAGTCATCCCACATGCTCTGTCCATAGCCTCGCATAGCCTCACACTGCACTGGCTGTTTCTCCGTTATGTCCTCAGTAGTATATAAACCCTGTACAATCCTTGTAGTTCTTCAGTTCAAATATTATCTTAGACTCTGCTCATTCCCTCCTCCATCCGATTTGAAGTCTCTTCTCGTCATCTCCAATAGTCTTAGGATCGACTCCTATAGACTTACCACCTCCGCCTCTACCTTAGGTAGTCCTCCGCTGTTTCCTTCTAGTTCGGACATTGTCCAGATTAGTCTTATCACTTGTTCCTGAATGTCCGCCGGAATTCCTGCACATCGGACTCCAGACTCCGGACGTCGTCCATTAGCCCTCGGAAGTTAGGGGCACATACTCGGGTAAGGGGCGCAGCGCACGAGCTGAAGCCAAGCCCTTCAGATCCGAACCATTGAGCACATTCTTAACAGTATATTCGAACTCACACCTTACCGAGTATACTTACAACTAAATTCATGGCACCTACAACCACTCAGACCAACCTCCGCGCGGCGGGCTTAGTAACCACCTGACGCGACTCTACTCCCATAGTCAATGCATTCACTAGCTTCTCACAGTGTCGTGCTAGCGCGCAGGGCGCTGCATCCAGCATATCGCAACTTATGAATCGTCCGCACCCAGAAACCCCAACTCATACACTGGCTGGGTTCCTATTGGAAAACAAAGATACTCCGGGCGGAGATCCGCCGGATAATGGGGGAGGTGACCCAGACAATGAACCTCTGGAAGACCCGACTGACGATGAAAACAAAGGTCTTGGTCCACAAGACTTGGTCTTCCTCCGCCTTTCACAGGCAATCAATAACCTGGTGCGTAACAACCGCCATTCCTGACAACTTTAAAATCAAAGTCTGAGAACCAGACACCTTCGATGGCACTGAGCCCCGGAAGCTCTGGGCGTTCTTTGTTTAATGTGAGCTTAACTTCCAAGCTAAGCCAAAGTCTTTCCGCACCGACCATGCCAAGGTCAACTTCACGCAGTCATACCTCAAGGGCATGGCTCTTGAATGGTTTGAACTGGACCTCCTTTTGGATGATCTCGTTGATCATCCGGAGTGGATGGACAACTACTCTGAGTTCATGTTAGAACTCCAAACTAACTTTGGACCTCATGACCCGGTCGGAGATGCAGAAATGCAGTTGGAACAGCTCTATATGCTGTTACAAGTAACATCGGTCACGTGGCCCCCCTATCATTTTCCCTTCATCTTCGCCCTCACCATCTACCGGCTCGTCCTCCTCTACCGACTTTCCGTTGACCGGATCCTTGGGACCGTTCCCATCCCTCGCATCGCCCGCCTCTATGCATGTGCACGCACATTCCTCCTTTGATTCGACCACCAATGTGGTCCCGCACCTATGACTCGGTCTGACTCATGCCACCAATGTGGCTTTCCTTTCCTGTTCTCTTCTGACTGCGGATTCCCACACGTTGTATTCCTACCGTTGGACCGTTCCAATGTTTCTCAGTCTCATTCCACATTCGACCATCCACCACTAATCCAGCTCTGTTGCCAACGCACCTATACCATTCTCATTTCCCCTTTACCCTTACCTACAGTGCAGTAGCCTTGCCCTCAACCCTTTCCACTTAGTATAAGTAGTCGGTCACCCTGTACTAGATTCTCTAACTTGAATCTACTCAATCTTCCCTGGAACATGCTTCTCTCTGAAGCCTCATAAGCTTCAGTCTCTAGTATCTTTTCTTAGTCGCTCATCACGACTAAGTCTACCTCGATCGACACTCATCATTCGGACAAGACTGTCCTTACTTTGAGCCTGGTGACTTCACAGACATCTGTCTTAGAAGTCACATGACACACACGTCTGTGATCGCTGCTGACTCATTGTCGCCAGTCTCACTCACCATACCGGATCCTTCCAGTTACGTCAATGACTGTTAGCGGACGACACCCCTCTTAGGGCTCCGCATAACAGATCTATTTGAGTGCATAACATATGCGCGACGGACAGCACATCAACAAGTATGTTGTAGAGTTCCAATGGCTTGCTTCCCAAGTCCGCAGTTGGGGCGACGGAGCTTTGCGCCATCAGTTCTACAACGGACTTCCGGCTCGCATCAAAGATGAAATCAGTCGTCAAGGAAAACCCACCACTCTTTCCCAGTACAAAACTCTCGCCCAGACTATCAATGCTCGATACTGGGAATGCAAGGGAGAAGTCTCCCATGAAACCAAACCCTCCGCATCCACCCCTCCTGCCAAGCAGTCAGCTTTGACTTCCGACCGGAAAGATTATTCCGGCGGAAAATCTGGAACCGCTTCGGCTTCCTCCTCCACCAAACTTCTGGACTTAACTTCCAAGCTCAGAAAAGATGGTAAACTTACCTCCGAGGAGCGCCAGAGGCGCATGGAGAAGAAGCTCTGCCTTTTCTGTGGCGGACCCGGACATACTGCCTGGGACTGCCTGAAGTCCACTTCCTGTGCAGCCAAAGGCTGTGCTAGCATGGTAACTCCTGAAGCCAAACAGGAGGTCTTGGAAGAGACAAAAAATTAGTCCGCAACCCTCCTGACTCCACATGGGAAGAAGGTTGCATTGACTCAACCCGCGCAATGGAGCTATGTCTCAATGCTGTTTTCCTTTCCGATCCAAACTCTCTAGTACCATCCATTTCCATTTCCACTTTTCCTGATATCTCTCTGTTTCTGGCTCTTGTAGATTGTGGCTCGTCTCATTGTTTTATAGAAAGCAAATTAATCCGAGAAAATAACATTCCCACCTATGCAATCTCTCCGCTTCCGCTCCATCTGTTTGATGGTACTTCTAATGCCACTATTACCGAGGCAGTAGATTTACCGATCCGTTTTCCAACCGGCATGGTTACTTCCAAAACATTTTATGTTACTCCGTTGGACTCATCCTGTTCCATCGTTCTAGGATATAGCTGGCTCACCTGACACAATCCATTGATTGACTGGGTAAAGGGCAGCATCAATTTCCGTCCGATTCCTCATGGAGTGCCTCCGACCCCTCCGACCCCGCTTCTGCCGCTTCCGGCGGAAATCCCTTCCCCAACTCCGCCGAGTCCCTCCACTGATAACGTCATTCCCAATATTTCCCTGATCAATGCAGTTGCCTTTTGCCGGGCCTGCAAGTTAGAGGGATCGGTCCAGTTCAGTATTTTCATCCGATCCACCGGTGTCAATCTCCGCTCCACTACACTCTCTTCCGAACCTCCGAACCTATCTGGAATCCCTTCAGAATACCACAAGTACGTGGATGTCTTTGATAAGGGCAAAGCCGGACAGCTCCCTCCCCATCATCCCTATGATCTTAAAATCAATTTGGAAGAAGGAGTGGCTCCACTCCTTGGCACCATCTATTCCCTTTCTCTGGTCGAGCTTGCAGCTCTTCACAAATTCCTTGATGAGAATATTGTGACCAGACTTCTCCGTTTCTCATCCTCTCCACACAGAGCCCCTCATTTCCGACCTTCTCGATTCTCCGAGCTGCGCAAAAGTTTACACTAAAATCGACCTCCGGTCTACTTACCATCTAGTCCGGATGGCAGAAGGAGACAAGTGGAAAACTGCTTTCCGAACGCGCTATGGCTTGTATGAATGGTTGGTTATGCCCGAGGGTCTCATCAATGCTCCAGCGGCTTTCCAATGCTTTGTCAATACCATCTCCGCCGATATGCTTGACATATGCATTATTGTGTACCTCGACAACATCCTCATTTATTCCGCAGACCTTGCATCTCACAAACAACACGTCCTTGAAGTCCTCCGACGCCTCCGGAAGCATCGTCTATATGCTAAACTGGAGAAGTGCAAATTCCATTCTGACTC